ATAAATATTTACTCATGACTACGATGAGGTAGCTTGCCGAATAGGAATGGAAGGACATTTGGCCAATGGCTGCCCGCCTATTCGGACAAGCCTAGCTATTGAACTTGAGACAAAATCCACCTGTTTAACACAACTGGCTTCCCAATGGAGACGAATGCATGCGAGATATGGAAGACATTTGCCAAATTTGAGAAAAGATTTAAATTTGGGTCAGCGAAAATGGCTAATACGGATTTTAGGAGTCACTTTCACAGATCAACCACAAACTGAGAAATCCTGTGCCCAGCATAACCTCCGACAGAAGGAATTAAGCATACCAAGAGTTGCAATGACTTGGAGGAAGACGTCCTCCTATAACTTGGCGCCACACTTCATGGAGGACCTCAGAGCAGCGGACACCAGGAGGGAAGAAGCTTCAGACATTGCCAGTGACAGATCTTTATGGAGACCGCTTGTAAAGGTCTGAACAGGAGGGGGAGGACTTAAGTCTAAGCTTGCCTTCTTCTTCTCCCCCCCCCCCTCCCTCTTGACACCAAATGGGCATTTGGTCTCCCCCCCTCCCTCTTGACACCAAATGGGCATTTGGTCTCCCCCCCCCCTCCCTCTTGACACCAAATGGGCATTTGGTCTTCCCCCTCCCTCTTGACACCAAAATGGGCATTTGGTCTTCCCCCTCCCTCTTGGCACCAAATGGGCATTTGGGTGAAACAAAGTTATTATTATAATGAACTGATCCACTTACCAGCTGCTGCAAGTTGTAGAAACAAGGCCATGATGAACATTCTCAAGATTGACGACAATCTGGACGCCATTTTTGTTTCTTGAAGACTTTGTCAAGGAGATATCTAGGGAGTATCAGATAGTAAATATTGAATTAATATTCTTGTATCTATCTACTGTCTATCTATTAAAAACTATCTATCAATTAAGTGTTAGAATAGTGTTAGACAGAGATTCCTTTAAGACCGATGCTAAAATTATTAACAAAGAATGTTGAGACTTAAAAAAATGTCCTCCAAAATGAAGAGTTCTCCTACCATCTATCACTGTGCATTGTACACATATACCACATTAAATTAATTAAACTCGACGAACTGGGTTGGTTCAGTAACACGAGAAAAATACCCAACATATAAATCTTCAGATCTTGTCCTCTTCCGGTTTGAGAAAGTAGAATTTTAGAGCCAAGGGTGGATAATTGGACTGCTTTAAATGTTTTTGTACTCTCCCCTAATAATGTAAATATACAATTATTATTAAGTTGTTGTTTTTTTTTCGTTTATAGTATATTTGAATTAAAATGAGCTAGCAAAAACAATCGGCATAAATTACATTGTTTCAGTAACTAGCAGCATTAGATGATGCTAATTTTAAGTGACTCCCGTTCCATTAGACCTATCTAGTGTTATTATTAAAAAGTACTTGCAGAAGTTATCTATCTACAAATACATACGTAGGCCTACCTCACTGTGTATTGAAAGAACACTTTAACACTGAGAGCCACTAGATCTAGTTGCTTGGGTTAAACTTCTTTCCGTTTCTTAGAATAATAATTTTAACTTTCTTTCCTAGTTATCACTTGGTTCCATATATGCTATAATTGTCTGCGCATGCGCATTGTAGCGTGCTTATTTTACTGGTTTGGATATAAAACGCTATAAGTTTCGAATTGTGTAGTGTGGAAGAGATAGATGTAGATATATATCAGCGGACTAGAACTATTTTTAAACTTTGCACAAACACAATTACACACACACACACACACACACAAGCGGGCGAATGTCTCTGCACACGGACTTAAATTGAGTCACGACTCCACTAGACTAGACGAGTGCGTAGGCCTGTAGTACCAAAATAGATAAAGTCATTGATTTTAGAGAAACACTAGGGCAGAAACCTAAAGGCTTTTTTTTTCTAAGAAATCTATCTATCTATCTATCTATCTTTTATCTATTATCTATCTCTGTCTGTCTGTATCTATCTATGTATCTATCTATCTCTTTCTCTGTGTATATATCTATATAATGTGTGTGTGTGTGTTTCCTTTACTGTTTCTTTTACTTTAAAATGTTAACATACATTCACTATAGAATTACAATTTTCTATTCAAAAGCAGGAGTTTCGTGTTTCGATCTGTATCTATAATACACCTTGTTGTACAGTTTTGTATTTAATATTATAATTTAATATTATCTCTTGATTAAACCCAAATTTTTAACTCTGGACTGTACAGTCCATATATAAAATTAACTTAAAAAAAATGATGTACTTTTACACTAAAATAAAAGAAGCGACCTAGATAGCTTCAGAGCAAGGTGTTTAATTACGACTCGGCGTTATAGCGATTGAATGCACAGCTTGCCAGGTAATACACCGCTTGCATTTGCCAGGACAGTTGTGAAGGGGAAAAAAATCTATATTTTGGCGTGGCTAGATCTAACCAAACTCAGATCAGGCTGAGAGATTCCCGATTGACGTGGGTTCTATATGGGGACATGCTTATTCTAATCACAGCCAAAAAAAAAAAAATGTGATGCTTTTTTTTGTTGTTCTTATTATAAACATTACTTAACATCAATGGGGAACAAATCCCGTAGGCTTTAGAAATTTGGCGGAAGCGGAGCACTCATTATAAATAGTACAATTTCTCGAAATCTTGATGTATGTGTTTTGTGATTGGTAAACAATTTTACATAAAATGGGAGGATTTTAAAAGTTTAGACAGTAGCAGACCTTAGCATATGATAGAACGTGTGGGAAAAAAGTTCATCTAACCAGATTGAGGCGGTTTATACTCTGCAGTTCATGGTTGCTAGGAATATATTTATGATCTGTGTCATTAGCAACTCCCGTTAGAGCTATTTTAAAACGATTTCTGGAAATTTGAATTCTTTTGCCTAGAAATGCAAGCAGTCTGCCACCTCATACATCACTAGTGGTCGGTGCACTTTGTGTTGAGAAATCACGTGGTGTTCCCGTAACAATGTTCCAAATGACATGCAAATAGGTCAAGGATATTACCTGAATAGGGTGTTGTTTTTTTTCCTGTCAATTTACGATTGCAAGAAATATTAATTATTTGGTAATGTTCTTTGGTTCCTGATTATTTTGTTTTGGTGGCCAGGTTTCGAAAAAAATGAAAGTCAAGCTTATGATTAATTTGTTTGACACTTGATTCATTCATTTTTTTTTTAAAGTATTTGTTTAAGATTAGGGTTAGGGGGGAATAAAGTACCCTTATTTGAGACATTACTATCTATAAGGCAGATGATGTTAAGGTCATCAGTTTCTTTGGTCGTCAGTTAACGAGGGTGTCATGCGGTCAGCCCAACAACAAATATGGTCGTCCCAAAATCATATATTTTAAAAATCCCTGTCTTTATAGAGATAAGAAACCGATACCTCCTCGATTCAGGAGCAAGGGAGCTTTACCACTCTCTCCCTCTCCCCTGCACACGTTAGGAGTAGAGAAACATTCTAATAGTTCAATCACACAACATATATATACTTTCAGAAATTTTAAAGCAATTTTGTTTTATATAACAATTAATCAATTTTTAATTTTTATCAATTAATTAATTTTTTCTTTTAGGAGTTGTTAGTGTATCAGTGAAAGTTATAATCTTTTTAAAAAGTTCTCTCTCTCTTTGTTACTTCTTTCGTTTCTATCTATAACGTGTGTATTTGTTTCATTAAATTCAATATTTACACTTTTACATCGGCTATCACTAAAGTTAACAGTTGATTAAAATATATTCTCTCTTCTAGGCTTGCATATTTAAAAAAAAAATTTTGAGGTGTGGGGGTGAGAGATGATTGTGTGGTTAAGCGCTTGTCTTCCAAATCTGGGGTCTTGGGTTCGAATCTCGACGAAGACTGGGATTTTGAGATTCATGAGTTTCAGGGCGCCCTTGAGTCCACCCATTTCTAAGTTAGAGAAAGTAAAGGCGATTGGTCGTTGTTCTGGCCACCCTGCTAGTTAACCGATGGCCATTGAAACAGATGGCCTTAACATCATGGGCCTATAGATCGCAAGGTCTATAAGGGGGACTTTACTTTTTTAAAGTTTGTGAGACAGGATTAGGGATGGAAGTTTTAAATAGGCCGAACTATCTAAGTGTACTTCTGGCCCTATGCCAATAAAATATCACAGAGAAATAACTTTCCTCTGAGTCAGTGCTTGTATGTGCATGTTTTATCTTGTTGCATAAATAGTAGTCAGATTTAAAATTCAATCAATACATTTCAGATCTCAGAAACATCAGAATTTGAATTTCCGATTTTTAAACATGTACCAATAAGTTTTTATATCCTTGCAAAATACTTGTTTTAATAGGCCGCGGGTGGGGCTGCGTAGCCAAGGGAAAATAAACTGCATTCTTAACTAATTTTCGGACTCGAAGACAAGTTATTTATATTTATTACCGAGAGAGAGAGAGAGTGCTTTCTGCATGATTTTCTGAATAAATTAATTGACTTGTAAAGCTGGCTGGAAGTATCGATTCTCTATTTTCTCAAGCCGACTACCAAAGTGTATAAAATGTATACAACGATTATCTATGAGATGACGTTCGGGGAATGTCCTGGTCTCCTGGTTCCCTGGGAGCTGTTGGACTAGTGGGGGAGGTGAGAACACTTGACCTGTCATGTTGTGGAGTCATGGATGTGCGTGCCTGTGGGCGTGTGTGATCATGTGTGTCCATGTGGGCTAGGCTGACGTCAAATCAACAGTATGGCAGGAACATTGGTTACCATTAGTAACAGCCATGACTCTTGCAGAAAAAAGCCTGCCTAGTAGCAGAACAGTCTACACAGAAGCTTAACACTGCTGCAATCACATGACCTACATTTCTTCTCTTAAGACTACGTTGTTTTTTTGTTTTGTTTTTTTATATATAGATTTAAAACGTAGGTGTTGGATCATGATTGCAGGACTTCTTTTAATTTTTTTTCTCAGTAAATGATCTTCTCAATGTATTGACTTAAAATGAACTAAATATATTGATTAAACATTTACCAAGTTTTATTCTTTAGTGCTGAAACAAATAATGAATAAACATGACATGTGACATTTAATGTGACAATAGACATATAATGTGACAAAAGATATATAATGTGATATTTGCCATATAATGTGACATTTGCCATATAATGTGGCATTTGACATATAATGACGCATTTGACATATAATGGGACATTTGACATATAATGAGACATTTGACATATAATGGGACATTTGACATATAATGTGACATTTGAAACATAATGTGACATTTGACACATAATGTGACATACAATGTGACATTTGACATATAATGTGACATTTGACATATAATGTGACATAATGTGACATGTGACATATAACATCAGAATGTGACAAAAATATGATGAAACATAGATAGGACTCGAAATTACAGGCTTACATTTATTAGAACATTCAGGTCCCCAAACAAGAACCTTTCAAGCCAACGGTTTTATCTTCACCCGAATCGTCACTTAGGGTCACTTAGGGTCACGTGTTTACAGCCCGCCAACATTTCCTCCACAATCATCCCATAAAATTTTGTATTTAAGGTCGACACATATTGCAGCCCGCTGGTTCTTTTAAGGAGAAACAATGACCCTAACTAAAATTTTTATATTGCTACCTTAGCATAACCATTAACTTTCATGTTTTCTATACGATCTACTTCTGGTTTGTTTCTGTTTTTACACCTTCTTAAATGTTCCAATAGGCAGATATAAGTTCTGGTTACATCCATATAACCATACCTAACTACCTAGTATTAAGCTCCGATTAGCCAGTTTTTATACCTAACCCTAACACCAGAAAACCCTAATCAACAACCTTCATTAGGACGGGAAAAGTAAACAGCTAGTACAAAGATAATAACTGCTTGAAGACATTCATTTCAACAGTTTGCTGCATTGCTCTGTTTTGACCTTAAATCGGCTGAATAGCCGCTTTCATATTGATCGTACTTTATCTACCCCCATGAGCTTAATGTTTCCCATCAGCTCATGCGTTATTTAGACCGATTTAATTTTGTTTTGAAAATTTAACATAAAGTACTCCATTGAATAGTTAGTAAGTAGCTTTCTTTAGTACGGTCGTAGGAAGTTCTTTCAAGTACAGAATAAACTCAGTCTACGCACTCGGCAGTCGTTGTTTTTTTCTATGGTGTGAAAATTACTTCGTACTAAACGTGTTGTATAGATATTGACATATTTAGGTCAGTGCGCAATGAAGTTATATTACTTTGAAGTCAGCATGAAAGAAATTATTAAATTAACTTGCTTACCTCCAAAATAGGGCTCCACAGCCACATGAAAAAAAAATGTTCAAAAGGAAATAGTGAAGGAGGTCAACATGAATAAACATTGTTTTTGTTTGTTTTATTGACAGCCAATATAATGTACTGTACTCAATGGATCTTTATTGCTATATTCGCTTAATAAATATATAATTTCTTCGTTTAATAAGTTTTAATAATACATGATAGAAAGGTGAAAGGGCAAAGGTCTAGCTAAGAAATAATCTAATGGAGGCTACATCTTTATACAAAATAGAAATGAAAACTGAAATAAGTGCTGAATAAAACACAACGGAAAGGAAACGGGGAAACACAAAATTTAAATCTAGTTCTTTTTAGTTCCCTTTTAGACTCTAATAGCGTACATTTAAAGAATATAAAGTTGTTAATAGGATTATACTGCAACAAACAACAAGAAAAACTGTTGAAATACGATCATTCAAGATAATTCATGCCTAACACAGGAAGTATTAGAGATACACTTAGAAAATATTACTATTACAATTCAAACGAATAAACAGCATAACAATTAGTTAAATATAATTACAAATGTGTGGAAATTTTTTTGTTTTTTTTTGCAATTATAAGGTATCCTAACAATTCCTTACTGTAGCAGTTAATTATAACAATGTGTTAAATTGGATCATTTCGGTATTGTAACATTTCGTTTTCTGATTGTAACATTTCGTTTTCTGATTGTAACATTTCGTTTTCTGATTGTAACATTTCGTTTTCTGATTGTAACATTTCGTTTTCTGATTGTAACATTTCGTTTTCTGATTGTAACATTTCGTTTTCTGATTGTAACATTTCGTTTTCTGATTGTAACATTTCGTTTTCTGATTGTAACATTTCGTTTTCTGATTGTAACAATCGTATTAATCTTTTACGTAACAAAATGTCAACAAAGAAATATAAGGGCGAAATCTTGCGATAATTTCTTTCAATTGCATCTATACAAATATCTAAAAAAAAAAAAGGAACACAGGGACTGCTTTTCTTGAATATTCTCTTCTGAACTACAAACGTATTGAAACAATGTGATACTACAATGCTAAAATTCGCAGAGAAGTTATCATATAATTTTACAAACAACATAGCTTACCAGCTCTTCCCTTATTCTATATATCGGATACACTGTAGAAATAACTAGCGTTTTATATTTTTTACGCCATAAATGAAATTCTTAATAACATAATATGAATATTTATTAAATGTATACATGGGAAAATTATTTTTTTAGAAAGACTCTTACATTATAATAATGTTTTCTTTTTTTTCTTTTTAAGTATTTAAAACAAATCTATTTACTTTATTTTATGTATTAACAGAATAACCATTTTAAAAAATCTTAAACTTTTGAAATATTGAACATAAATTATTTCACACTCTTGTCATATATCGTACAAACAAGAGATCTTATAACTAAAAAAGCTTTATCCTTAGAAATTTTATATGAAATGATAAGAACGAATCAGTTAGAGGGTCTGGAGTCATCATTTTTGCGGCTATTTGTTTGGTTTCTGATCAGTTTGATTTGATTGACTTTCCTCTATATCTTCTTTCTTGGTGTGGACATCCTCATAAGGTTGGTTCGGGTTGGGTTTTGCTAAACTGTCTTTTTTTTTGGCCTCTGGGTTTGTGTCTGAGGACGTGGCTTTCTTAGACATTGCAATATCTGTGGGGATAAAAAAACGTTACATTAAAAACGCTTTTTGTAGTAAACATAACTATTGGTGTTGTTATACAGTTGTTAGGGTCTGTGTCACCCCGTGTGGTTAGCCTAAGGGAGTCACCCCCTAACCCAGTCAACATTTTCCAAGAAACATTATTATTTTGTTTTATTTTGTCGTTGAACCAATAGAGTGAGCTGATGACCTACTTTCATTGATATTTATACAAATGTAAAATGAGTGTTAGTTCTAGTGTAAAATCTCATTGTTTATGAAATCTATTCAATGGTTTTTGCATATTTTAGAATGCAAGTTTAGAAACAGGCTTAACGCTATCTGAACATGGACTTAAAAGACGAAAACGGTTTAACTTTATGCTGTGTTAATCAAAATTTAACTACCATCTATACCAGAAACGTATGTTCGTTTAACGCCAACTAAGTCAGTTATTGGTCCGGGAAAACGCTTAAAGCGTCCACATTAGAGTTTGTGGCGGAACCCCAGGTGCCAAGCGCTTTTCAACATTTACGACCCCCAGAAACTCATTCTCCTTAATTCTAGTTTGCACTATTTCTTCTAGGCCCACTAGAAGCATTAAAGTTAAAAACAAATCTCTTTACAATTTTTAGTTTTGAATAGGTTTTTTTTTTTTTTGAATAAAGATATTTTTTCATAATATATTAATATAAAGTTATCTATATTTTATTCATATTTAAAAGGGTCAACCTTCTGACTTTGCGATCTATGGGACAGATCTTTTCTGAGACTCACCGTTAACGAGGGTGTTATGTGACAAGCACAATCACCATCACCTTTACTTTCCCCCAACTAATATCAGGTACCAATTGGAAATTGAAAATACCCAGTGTCACCAGGATTCGAACCCTGGACCTCTTGTTTCGGTAGTCAAACGCTTTACCACTCAACCAGTTCGTTTCTTTACATTAAAATATTACATTTAGAATGATTTAAGACAAAGGTGAGAAAAGAGAGAAGAGATAATATGCTCTTTATTTGATCCTTTGTCAGCGAATCAATTCTGATGATGTTTTTTTTTTGGTTTTAGGGTTGCCAGTTTATTTCCATGCAAAACTTGTTAAAAACTGTTGAAAGTAACTTTTTTAATGGTCACATTAATAGATTATCATTAATTACAGCAGTCTTAAATAATTAAAAAAAAAATAGAATTTAGTATTTTAAAATGTATTTATTAGCTTAGACTGACGCTTTTAAATATGCCATACGCGTAAGTCTGCGGTTCCAGTCCATCTGAATAGACTTGGAGTTGGGGTTTAACATATAGACTGTTTTATTCTTGTTGAAAACATTGGTTGAATAGAAAAAAAAAAATTGCCTCGTGTTGGTGCCTTGGTGGTGGTGGTGTGTGTGTGTATGTAGCATTAGCAAAAGGGTGTAATTAAAAAAAAAACACAACACTTTAGAATAACTTCTTATTTTAAAATGTTTCAAAGCACAAATCATTTAATCCTACTATCAATCTTCCCGTTCAGTCCCCCAATAGAGCAAGGATAAGACTTTATTAGGTTATTATATGTGACCGTTACTGCCTAGATTTATAAAATAAGGTTTTAATTGAAGCTAATTATAAGCTGGAAACATTGTCACTGTATCCTAATTAGTATATTGTATTTCTATCTCTAAGAAATAACTACATTTTTTTTTTGATTACATAATTCAAAATAAATTTAGGAATATTACTTTATACTATATTACCATAATTTAATTTTCAATCAAGTTGGATTACATTCGGCCAAATTTTGGACTTACAAATGATTCATAAATATTGTTTATATTGCTAGTATAATTTGTAATGTATGTAAATAAGTTCTTATATCAAAGTACTGTTTGTAAAATGTTTTGTTTGTAAAATGTTTTACATGTTTCGGATGTTCCTTCAGAGTTGAAGATAGTTTACTTCCTAGTCCAAACCTCCCGCAGGACGACGGGGGATGGGAGCGGGCAGGGTTTGAACCTTCGACCATCGATAAATCTGAACGACAGTCCAGCGCGCAAACCGCACGACCAGGCAGCCATCCTTGTTATGATGAATCTAAATTTCTCAGCTATGGCTTGACTGGAACTTATAGTTATATGTTACTTTAGAAAAAAAGAATTCGACATCCGAGTCCAAACATCTACAGGAAGGCGTGACAGGGTTATCTTATCTTATAAAATACAGACGTTACTTCAAAAAAGAAAATGATTAGGATACGTCCTACACTTGTTTCTAGGACAATCTGGTCATGCATGTTAATCAATGATTTAAAATAAAAGAAATTCTGCCAAGTTATTTGTTTTCCTGGCTGACTCAGGCAACCCATTCCTTGCTCTAATAGCACTAGGGAAGAAGGACCTTTTGTACAAATTTGTCCTAGCATATGGAACGCAGAATGTGCTTTTTTCGTTGTGTCTTTCAGAGTATTTTATTAGATTTTGTTTTCGTATCTGAAAATTAAGGTTCAGTGTTTTATGTTTAATGTCAACTTTACTTTTAAAGTCTTCTCTCCTGAAAGCTTTCTAAATTAAGTGATTTTTCTAATTTTTTTAGTTTTAACATGGGAAAATCGTAACAACAGTACAGATAGTATAAGACACGACCAAATAGTCACCTCCATCTTTGCTCCAAAAAGTTATTTAAATAGCTCAAAGTATTAGCTAAATTATTTGAAGCATACATGTATTGATCAGAATGACGGGACTAAGCATTTGTGGGAAGCGTATTTCGAGAATCTAAGTAAGCTTGAATTGGGCTTGGCTTGTCTACCTATGAAGGGGGCTTGAGGTTCGACGCCCGACTCGAGCGGTGTGGTGTTTACTGAGCGCCACCCTCCCCCCTCCCTACTGGTTCACAAAAGAGATTGTGCTCTGAACATGCTATAAGCATGAAAGTAGCGCTATATAAAAGCTATTATTTATTTATTTATTTTTTAAAACTGTATCAATTTTGGAATTAATAATATGACTACAAAGTCTTAATCTGAGAATGAGTTTTAAAACCACAAAACAATAGAGATAATTATTGAGTAAAAATTTAAAGTTCAAAAATTACTTACATTAAGTTTGGAACGGTTTTAGAAAATTTGGAATCCAGATTATGTGAATATTTGAAGTTAAACTTTTATACTGATAATCTACGCATGCGCATTGTAATACAGACTTCTTTTCATTAATGATACTCATGCATATTAAAATGTATCAGCCAATCAAAACAAGGCAATAAATGATATCACATATTTAAAATAGATTAGTAGTTACAAAGTTTAATTATTAATGGATCGATTTTTTTCCATACTAAAGGTAAGAAAATTTTTTTTTTTAAATGTTTGTAAAATGTTTTACATGTTTCGGATGTTCCTTCAGAGTTGAAGATAGTTACTTCCTAGTCCAAACCTCCCGCAGGACGAGGGGGCATGGGAGCGGGCAGGGTTTGAACCCGGGACCCTCGATAAATCTGAACGACAGTCCAGCGCGCAAACCGCACGACCAGACAAGTAATAATGTTGTTATATATTTACTGGTAAAAGAGCAGAGTTTTGTTTACTGAGTGCCCCCTTCTCCCCTTCCAATTACATAAAAAAAAACATTATTCACCAATGGTTAACAATTGATGACTTTTAAAGTAGATCTATGTTTTCCTTGCTATTCTTCATCATCATCATCATCACTCCTTTGAGTTCCTCATGGAACACGCCACTCTCCAAGGTCTCTTGCTAGTTTTGTTGATGGCTTCCCAGCTCTTCCCGGTCTTCTCTGCTTCTTCAAGTACATTGCGTCGCCATGTTCTTTTTGGTCTTACTCTGCGTCTTGTTCCCTGGGGGGTTCCACTCTAAGGCCTGCCTAGCTCTGTTGCTGGTATCTTTTCTAACCTTCTATCCTTACAAAGCTTTTATCAATTCGCTTATATCAACTCCCTGTCATTTAACCAATTATTACTAAACCCATATGTTTTAGGTTTTTCATTTCAAAATTAATTACAATTTTTAAAGCATTTTCTTTTTTAACTTTCGGGGTAGATAATTTGGCCTAATCATTAAGTCATGGCTTGTCAAACTTTGACAGTTTCGAAATGGGAGCTATAAAAAATACTTTCCTCTCTTTTTGTCTACTTCTTTTCTAGCAATATCTCTCTTGTATAAATGGTAAGCTCTGTAAAATAAGATGATCGGGTTAATGGTTGATGACATGAATCAACCTTACTTTTACACTGTTCATTTATAAGTTGGATAGGTTTTTTTTTCAACGAATCAAAGTTGACGTTTTATAATAATCTTTTCAAAATAACTTTATATTTCTTCTACGCTCCCAGACTGTAGAACTCATGATTATAAGATCATAGAGGCGTAGCTAGCAAATTGCTGGTGGTGCGGGCCGTACGGGACATCAAGTGATCAAAATGAGGATACATTTTTTTTCATTAGAAACTACACATTGTACTCACATGATTACTGATTATTGCATAAATGTGGCTACATGCATGCCAAGTTTAAAAAAAAGAAACCTAAGTTAATCAATAATTACTTGTGATTAGCAATAACAACTTTACTACTCGTTAGTTGAACAAGAGTTAGTGGGGGAAAAACTGATTTCGATAAAATTTTTGTTAGTTCGACAGCAAGAAAGCAAGTAAGATTCATGTGTAGTATCTTCTTGTAAAACTGATTTTTTTGTTTTTGTTTTGTGAAACCCCATTACCTTAACAATAAATACACATTAAAAAAACAACAAAAAAAGTCTTAGTGATCTTTCATTTCTTTTCTTTTTTTTTTTTTGGGATGGCATCACGAGGAGCTGCCGCACCGGGCATCGACTACCTTAGTTACGCCACTGTAAGACCATGACTCTAACCCAAAACCTAAATCATCAAAAGTATTTTATAAATGGGATAAGGTGTGTATAGGTAATATGCTTCTTGTTGTGGCTCCTCTGCAGTGTCGAATATAATCAATGAAACAAACAGGAGGTAACCTTCAAACACCGGCGAAATGCCAAAACAATCAATATAGGTAGCGGACACTAGTGTTGAAATAGCAAACACTTTTAATCCTCAAGAAGCGACCCGTCAGATGTCCCCTGTTGCTAGCCGTCTGGATATTACTTCTTATTTTCATTGTCCCAATGAAAAGCGTCTTGTTGATAGTGTATCGTAGAGCGTTCTTACTTTTTAAAGGTCTTATTACGTCATTTGTCACTAAGTAAATCTTTCCCTTTATTCCCGAAACAAATACCTAATTCCTAATCATGTCATAACATTATAACCATAGCCCTAACCACTACTGACAAAGGTACTGACGTAGTTAAATATTTTTATACTAACATACGTTATGTAATAAATAAATAAAAGTACTTCAGACCTTGAGATCTATACAACAGATTATGTAAAGGTCATGTCTGGTACACATATCAGAGCTGGGTGAACTCAGGGACATTCTGAAATTCTGAAATTCAAAAGTCTCAGTCCTCACCGAAATTCGAGCCCGACACCTCTGGTCTCCAAACCGCACAAGCCAACCCATGGCTTTAAGTAACTATTCCTCTAAAACACCTACACAATGTTTTCTTAAACCAGGGTTTGATTGTCTTCCGTAAACCTGCCTATCTATTTCTTCCTCTCTTTGCTTCCTCTGTCTGCCGCTTCTTCTTTTCCCTGTTGCTGCTCCGCGGCTTAACTCTTTCTCCTCTCGCTGACTATACCCACGCTGATTTAACCTCATTCAAATTAAATTAATTTTTGTTTTCATAAACTTTAATTTGTGTTATATAAAAAGAGCATACATTCTTCTATAATTTTATACTTAATATATAACATTTTCTGATGACATACAAAAAAGTTATTGTAGTTTAATCATAACATAAATGAACAAAATGAATAATTCCATCGGAAAGTGGAAAATAATTACGGAGAGAAAGAGTTAAAAGTCTTTTTCCATCACTCACGATCTGAGTATAAAAGCGTACAGACAGAGAGGAATGGCGAGAGATGGTTGTGTGATCTCGTGTCGTGTTCCAACTGTCCAACAGAAAATCTGTTGTATATTAATGTGTGTAACTCAATAAGAAGGCAATACAAGTGGATATTTATTTACAAAAATGAAAATGATATGATTAAATAAAATACACATAACAGTTCTCTGACATTTAATTCTATTTCTCTTCTGCTTTGACACTTGGGCGGGAAATAGTTTTCTCTAGTTTTAACGACCACGTTCTTCGCCACTGTTCTGAACGGGGTACTGGTACGCATGATGTGCACTTTGTAAATTGGTGCACAGTGCACAGTGCGATTCTTTCCCTTACCAGAGATTTTCAAACACATAAAAATAAAAAAATATGAAGTTTTATGCGGTATCCTTTATACATTTACCAAATCATTAATATATATCATATAAAAGTGTGTGTTCACTTATCTGCACGGGTAGGTACACACTACCATAACTTGAATATAAATAGTGAAATCTGGCAGAGCTTATTTTGTCTATTAATAACAAAATAACTCCGAATTTTTATTATCTAACGTTTTATTTGGTCCCAAAAATTTTCGCAAACAATTCTAAGAATAAAATTTTATTATGCTTTTGACATTTTTCTATATCAACTATTTGTTTATGTTATCTTAGAATTGCTTTCTTTTTTTTTATTTTTAGCATATCTTACATGATTACTGCATTATGGTCCATTTGGGCAGGGGTATATTGAAACATTTTCCGTTCTGCCATTAGCTTTTAGCAAACATAACTCCGCCTGAGACGGGCTTAAACATATACATGTATACCTTTTTTTTATAGAATATTTAATAGGCGGCAGATTTTACCTTCACAATGCAACACATGAAATGGTCATCAAAATGTGTCATAAATTAACATGCGACCGATTGACCTCAATAAATTTTAAAAAGTGAAGAACCCAATTCAGATCGTGCGGTCTATAGGGTAGACAATAAAAGAAATACATGTTTGTTTCGTCTGTTTCTATGACCGACTGTTACGAGGGTGTTATGTGTACAACACAATCACCAACCCTAATAACCTTCCTAACTAATATCAGATATCCATTATATTTTTGTGAAGTCAGGTGTGTACCAAAATCCCCAAATTCAAAGTCCCAGTTTTCACCGATATTAAATGACTCTTCTTCATATCGTGTAGATATGTTTCATTTCTTTTTACAGGACTAAATCATCAGAAATTTCGGTCTAAAAATGGTTTACAAAAGCAACAAGATTAATGGTTCGAACGTAATAAACTTAAACCTTTGGTTTCTAGTTGGATGTGTAACATTTTTAATGAAGTGGTTGATTTCAAAAGTCAAAGACACAGTTTCATGAAAGGATATAACACAATGGTGAGTAATGGTAAACCAATTATTGTAATTTTCTTCTAAATAAATATACGACTTTCTTAACTATAAATTACAATAAAGATATCCATATACTTTAAAAAAAGAGAGAAAGATTTTAATTAATAAATGTAAAAAAAACAAGGGAGAGAATTTAAGCATGTGAAGAGTGTAGATTTGAGGAGATACTACAATTATTAAAAGTATATACTGTAGATATACGTAGAACCACAAATGAAATGATAATTTAAACAAAATCTAACCCACAAAAAAAAACAAAAAACACGTTCTTCCAGTTTCAATTGTTCATTAAGTCTCATCTCTATTCAACTTCAATTACAAAACACCACCTCGTGATTTCATTATGATCCATTCAGCCTTTAAAATCAGAACAATCCGCTAGCACAATGATGAATTTAACCACAAGAATTTTTTTTTAAAATGGATATTTGAATGCCTTTAATTTGCATAAAACTTAAGTCTTAGTAAAAATAAAAATATAACAGGAATAACAGGAGTAACAGAAACAATGAATGAGCAGTTTCAATTTGAACTGAGAATGGGTAGTTGGAGAAATAACGTGTTCAAAAATATGTACCAGACAGACAGACAGACTGACAGACAGAGATAATATAAGTATTTAAAAAAAACAAAAGAAGTCTAAGAGAAGAAGAATGAGTTTACACTTGATTATAAAGACTGGATACAAGTAGAGCTTTAAGCTTGTCCTGATTTGTTGTTTTATTACTCTGACGAAGCAGTCCATGTATTGACTTCCCATGTGTTCTACTCAGCTAGTCTTTTGTATCTAGTCCTTCGTCTGGTTTTTACTCATGTCTTTCTTATGGTTACGGACATCTTGATAGTTGTCACCTTTATCATCGCATTCACTCTTTTCACTCTTTTTGTCGCCAAAAATACAGAGTGCAAACACAAGAACTATGACAGTCGCTCCTGCTACGATGGGGATCCATGAAGGGACGCTCCATGCACCGTCGTCTGTAGGAGAGATCAAATATCATTACATTTTAAAACCAAAAACATTACATACTCTGACGATAATACAGTGGTGTAGCTAAGGTAGGGGAGTCCAAATTTTAAAATCCTTCGGGCCCCCACTTGAGAGGGTTTCCCAAAAATGAGTGTCCGAAATTTGTTTTTACATCAAATATTACGCCGTTATCTCATGTCATGATGTCGAATGTCAAAAGGTAGGGGACTTCTTCTTTTTCTTCTAGCCAGCTTTATTGCTGCTGAGCTGTGAGCTCTTTTGTGAGCTCTTTTACAGACTGTGCCAAGGAAAAAAAAGTGTGCTGTTTTCTTCAGTTGTTCAGCACTGCCGTACATGGCGTTGGTCATGTTGGGCTGTAGTGGAAGTAGGCTCTGCCTAAGGTGGATTAGGCAGGGGCATTAAAAGAGGATATGGCCCACGGTTTCAAAGGGGTGGGTGCAGTGTCTGCAAAGGTGGAGCTGTGTGGAGTTTATTTTGTTCAAGTAGTAATTTATTAGTGGTGTGTGTCCAGTTCTTTGTTGGAAAATTGTAGATTGTTCTTTGCGGGGAAGGAAGTTAATACTGTCCAGTTTGCAGGGGACAATAATGAGGTTAACCCACCCTGGGCCCAAAATCCCTAGCTACGCCACTGCAATAACATATCTACTTTCTCCAGAAAAAAAAGTGCTCCTTTCAGACCTTGCGATCTATAGGGCAGTTGATGTTAAGGTCATCTGTTTTCTTAACCAAAGGTTAACGAGCAGGGTGTCATGGAATTTAGTTGAACCATGACCTCGAACGTTTTTAAATTTTTTACTTTTTTTTGGGAGGGGGTAGTGGGGTCGTAGATGAGCAAAGGAGTCAAGAAATAATCATTGCTGGAGACAACTCTCAAAAGAAAAATTCTTCACCATGAGTAAAGTACTCCTTTCATCCGTTGAGGTAAAGCTCGAAAATTGACGACGATATCATGTGACCAGCATAATGACCTTCGATACAGTACAGTAGAAAATCGGCACCGAAGGCGCAATTATCCCATTGATCATATCATTAGAAAGGCTTTTATCCAACGAACAGGCTTGAACATGGGGCTCTTCACCCCAAGTCCTGTCTATGGACAGGGTAAGGAAACCGTACCGCGTACACAGCACACAGAGCCTCGTTCCTTGACCCCACTCGCTACAAGTGGCCGACGGAAGCGCTAACCATGGGGAGTTTGCCTCATATTCCTACACTGTCACCGCCACGCTCCGTGCAGGGACCGCTATTTCAGCTATCGGCCCCTTTTGTGGAACGGCGTGGAAGATTGTTAGGACTGATTTGCTGGCTTTTGTTTAATCTTCATCCTGAGTGAGATAAAAAAAATCGAAAAGCTCACCCGGAGGGGGGGGGGGGGGTAATCCTTGTTCGCTTCTCGTTCTTAGCCTATCTAGTTCCACTACTAGACATTTCCACGGAGGCGCCACGCTGAGGCGTCGGTGAATGAATACTCCGCAGCTTAAGTTTCAGCTTAAGCTTTAAGTAGTGGCTGGTGCCCTTTAGAGTTCGGCGAACTCAATGGCGTTTTAAAAAATTCCCAAGAGCTCAACCTAGTCTTCGTTCGGATCCGATATCGTGACTTCTAGGTGTTTAAGTATTATACCACTAGGCCACCCAACCCATGTAGCATTGGAAAAGTGTATACTTATATATACTTAGCAGACCAGATCCGTAATACGTTAGACCTCATCTTATAGAGGTATCACAAGCATTGGAAACTATTGAAAAGTATTGGAGATTTCAGGTGTTTTATGTTAAGCTTTAGTAATATTAGACGGTACTTATGAGAAAGAAGATAATATCGGATAGTTTATTGGAACCTTGATGAGATAGAGCACTGTTTGAAAACTAACATAAATAAATACTTATTAGAAAGATGTTAGAGAATCTCTGATCATAATGTAAGAATCTATGTGGTCTTAACCAGCCTCGGTAAAAAATGTCAAATGTAAAGATGACGTTTGACGAACTGTTGCAGTAAAAGGCTTCATGATACAAACCTGACCCTTAGGCAGTCTGCAGCACTCAGTGCTACACCCTGGCAGAGCCTGCTACGCCGCTGACCCCAAACTGAATCGGCAATTTCCGTTCCTTTGTTCACATCAGCTGCGTGAAGAGGGAAGAACTGCTATGTGGGCGACATCATCCCAACCATAGCTAATGCCCAAGCACTCATTTTATTGCCATGGAATGGTCCATATCGCTTCGGTACTGAAAGAGGCCATGCACAGTAAAATAATGGTTATTAAAATATTCTTCCTTTCAGAAAACAGGCTAGCCCTAATTACCTGCTAGTGCTGTTCCAAGTATTGCAAACATTGTGGCAGTTAGAAGCATTGAGTACTTCTCCATTGTTCGGTCTCTTTAGCTACCTGTTGAAATAAACAGAAACTGGCTTCAATGGAATCTTTTGTTTCGTTATATATATATATATATATATAAGGGAAGCGTAGACGAGAGGCTACTAAGGTGGCTCGAAGTTCGACATGTGGTGGGTGCGTCTGTGCCGTTAACCCGATAATGTGAAAACAATTCTTATTAATTGTTGTTTTAATTTAAGTTATATACATACAAAATAGAATTTTTTCATTTAAAAAAAAAAGTATATCATTTTTTGGTGTAAATACAGTAGTTGCAATGACAGAAATTACTTAGCTTAGTAATACAGAATAAAAAAAAAATATTTTTGGACCAAAATTCTAATACCGTTTGCATAAATGTGTTACACATATGGTTAATGGTCATCGCCCCTACTAAGTAGCCTTCAATGTTTTTAACTATTAATAGTGAAAAGTTGTAAAAGTTGTGTATTTTAATGAAAAAAATGCTTGCATAAGTGATTTAAAAATGAGAGTATTCGCTTTCAGAAAAGAATAAAGTTGCATCAGATTTTTTAATGGTCTTAAATATTTTGATGTCGAATTTTCACTATATTTTCTAGTATTCGAGATCTAAGCGGGACGGACAGACAGAAACACGGACAGACATTCCACACAAAACTAATAGCGTCTTTTCCCCTATCGGTGGCCTCTAAAAAGAGATGAAGGCTGTTTGGTAAATAGACAGTGTAACAGTGAAGTACGTATGCCATTAGATTGTCTGTATTCCCGTTTACGTCACATGTAAGTATAGCTTAGTGCAGTGTTTCCCAAACTTTTTCTTAACGGAACAATTCGCACATTCAGAGAATTTAGAGGAACAGTGTGCAATTTTTAGATTTGATTTTTTAAATTTGTTTATATTTAAAAAATTGAGCCACATTAAAAATTAAGCTCTTTTTTTTTTGAAGCATACAATTATATATATATATATATATAAATATACTATATACAGTGTGAGAGAGAGAGAGTTACTATATAAGCATATGCATGTAAAAAAAACCCAAAAAAAAAGATTAAAAGAAAAAAAAAAGCTTATATTAATCGTAGTTGTATCAATAATCTGGATCAGTCATGTATTTAAATTTGTAATAGATCTAGACAAACAACAATAGATCTTTGCAATTAGAAATATTTTTGCCAATTGTTTTTGTTTAGCGCAATTTCATGATTTTAACTTTCTCAATACGCTGTAATCCTATCATTTAACTGAACCATTTGGAAATGAGTGGAGAAAGAAAGGGGTATCTGGGTGATCGCTTTTTAAATGCATATATATAAACAAAGAATATTGAGCTACCTGTTTTGGAAATCGTGTGTTTACGCCTCCTCAGACTCTTCAAGAATACACACCAACCACTAAGCCAACGAAGCTCTAATAAAAAAGAATGTTTTATAATTAGCTTTTGTTGGTTCAAACTTTAAATTGACGATTTACAAAATATAAAGTGAGCGAACTCAACTTATTCCACCTTATGAGTCAAATGCACTTTGTGCCTCTTGTTTGAGATACGAAACAAAAAAAAATTCATTACTAATAGCTTATTAACTATTAATTGAAAGATAAAAAGAAATAATTGTGTTAAGTTTCAACTTGATCTGAAACGAACGTAAGAAAAATGATTGTCTTTCCTTTGCTAGTTTTTTTAATGGCTTCCCAGCTCTTTCCTGTCCTCTCGGCTTCATCTAGTAGACTGCTTCCCCACGTTCATTTTGGTCTTCTCTACGTCCTGTGCCCTGAGGGTTCCGCTCTAAGGTATGTCGGGCTCTGTTGCTGGTATCTTTTCTAAAAATGTGACCGATCTATCTCCAAATCTCCATAAGTGTAAGAGAAATAACTTGTACTAACTTTTTAAACAGTCAGACATGCAAAGTGAGTTGATATAAACTTTTTACCCGACAGACATTTAAAGTAAGTTGATATGAACTTTTTACCAGACAGACATGCAAAGTGAGTTAATATAAACTTTTTACCAGACAGACATGCAAAGTGAGTTAATATAAACTTTTTACCAGACAGACATGCAAAGTAAGTTGATAAGAACTTTTTACCAGACAGACATGCAAAGTGAGTTGATATAAACTTTTTACCAGACAAACATGCAAAGTGAGTTGATATAAACTTTTTACCAGACAAACATGCAAAGTGAGTTGAAATGTGTCAAATGAAATAGTCTTAATTAATATTGATTAAATTAAAATAAATAAACAAACCAATTATATACTAATAACAATACCTACCTTAGATGTTCAAAAACACCACCAGTTTCACAATGTTGGATACACGGTTGATGCACATAAGTAGCAAAGCTCTTACAATTGACATGCAAGAGAACTAAAAATTGTACATTTAGGCAGGTCTGGAAGTACACCGCTTGAGGAAAATTATGGATTTTTATTTCCAGGCTCGCTGGTCAGTCGACGCTAGAGGTTTCCATTGATCTCAAACAAGCCTTCTTTAAAAGGGTTGGGGGAGGGGGGGTAGTATGGTCGGGGGGGGACGAGGAGAAA